TAATGATCTTTAGTATTTCTATAATGAATTTTAGTATCTTATGATGAATTTTAGTATTTAATGAATTTTAGTATTTTATCATCCATTGTAATTTAATATGTTTTCCTTATATTGGTTTCGTTATCGTTTTTCTCATTTTTATTCTGTAAGAGCATTGAGATTTTTTAATGTAATGCGTTAGAAATAAATTATTATTAATTATTAATTATTATTATTAAAGAGTGGTTATAACGACCCATCAAAATCTAAGTCCTGGAAACTGTTTTGAGCCACCTTGAGGGCCGATTAACTGATCTTTTCGAGCCATTGCTAAGGGGAATTTATTCTCATATAACCCCATCATTTTTAGTTAGTTCAGAGTTATTTCATATGTTTTAACTTTTTCATGATCAGGCCACACCCTTGGTCATGTGACTAATCCTGAAAAAATGCAAAGGCTCCCAGGCAAAGTGCTTTATCGGGAATTTTTCATTGACTTAATATTTTAAATTTAATCATCATTACGCTAGGCATAGATTTTGTTTCATTTCTAAAAGGTCAGATTTTGAGAGAATTTCAAAATATTGAAAAATTCGTAATTTTCTGAAAAAAGCATGATTTCGAAAAAGGAATGCATAGCTATGTTTCCAACGTCGGCTTTAATCGAAACTCGTCGAAAAAGGCTGGATTTAATGAAAAACTACGTTTCCTTTAAAGAAACCAGTAGTGCGCCCGATGTATATTGAAAGTTACCCTATCAGCAAGTGCGCAATTTTCACTACCAGCGCACTTCGGTAAGATCAAACAAAGCGACACGGAGGTAGTATTTCTCTTTCTTTTGTTCTTGTTTTTCTGTTTATCTCTTATTTTGTCTTTGCTTGTACTTTTTTTCCTTTGCATTTGTGGAACACAACGAGAGAACATCTAAAATGTAAGCGAATTTGCTAGTTATGGAGTTGTTTTTATTTTCCGCGCTCAGGCTGACGTAAGTAACCAGAAAGTGAATTTTCACCTCCTTAGCAACGCGCGCGAGCGCGCTTACGAATCGTGATAGACTATTATTAATTGTTACACGTTCAACTGAGTTCGTTCTTTAGTATGAGAGACAGTCAACAAGACGTACGGAGCAGGCGGGACTTCCAGCCAAACCAGAAGGCTAAACTAGGCTGGATAGGAAGAAAATGAACTTCCAATCTTCTTGTCTCAGTCCTTCTCTGTCTGCAGATTAGTCTGAGATAAACGAAATGCCAAACATTTAACGTTTTGGAGGCGGCGTGGCCGAATGGTTTAGGGGGGTGGATGTGAAATTTGGAGGTCTCTGGTTCAAATCGTTGATAGTATTGAATTTAACCCCTCGGCCTCGCTTTGTAAATAGCCAACTGGTTTACCTCCCACCAACTGACATTCTTTTAAAAATATTTTTGGTCTATTTTCAACATTTGTTTGTTTGCTTACAGTGTCCTCAATTAGCACAACATTGCTAATTTGATGCTTAAACAAAGACATTCGATTTATTTCACTTAGTTTAACAGAAAATCCCATTTATAAGCTGTGAAAGTGAATTCAAGTTTGTCGCTCATCACAGGAATGTCCAATGTACAGGCTACAATACATGACAACTTTGTCTGGTTCAGTCACAAGTCAGCGTAAGCTGGGCTCATAAGTGGTATATTTCATAGTAATTTATCTAACATTCTCAAACTCATTAATAATTCATCAAGTTTAAACAAAGGAAATCATGTCCGTGAAGTTGTTTAGATATCTGATCTTAATTAGCATAGATTCTTACGATTTTATTTCTTCGTTTTCTCCCTAGTTTTAGTCTCGATTGAGAAGATATATCAAAAACTCAAGACAGTATTTGACCACATTTCCAAACACCTCGACGTTCGTCAAAAATACTCCGCTGCGCGTCGTATTTTCAACTCTCTTCTCGGTGTTTGGAAATGTGGTCAAACACGGCCTTTCGTGTTTGATATATTACATCTAAGACATACCTTTACAAGGTTTTGCTCTGGCCTTTTTACACTCTTTGTGATTTGCGCAGCCCATATGATAGTGAACTATCTTATCTCTTTTGGTACTCTTCGTGAAGCAGATATTAGATAAACCATTGTCGCATCTCTTTAGCGTGCGTTTGTGAACACATTCTTCGTACGAGGAGTTCTTCGGACAGTGGTGGCACATGGGATACATTTCATGGGCGGGGTGCTTGACGCTACCGTGTTGATACGAGAGGTCTGGGTCATCATCCTGCGGACTTTCCGAGGGATGTTTCCCCTCCGCTGAGGAGAACATGAAAACTCATTTCAACATGCATTTTGTTGTATTGCAGTCCGAAGCTTGTCGCATTTCTGCAATACTGGTCTTTAACTCTTACTTTAAATCAATAACAAAATCAGCGCACATGCATGATGAATACACCCTGTCGTTTTCTAAAAAACAAGACTTCACGTACTACCTCCTATACCTGTTGAATATACGAAAACTCTCAGTGGTGAAAGGAATTTTGCCATTGCGAAAAAAGTTATTCTTCTGTCAAATCGGCAGCTATTACGTATAGGTCAAGTGAGCCATACCATTCCCAAAACTAGCGCAAATAGTAAATCGCGTAGATAGTATACCTAGATTACATTTTGTTTGTTTGTTTGTTGTCTATACCTCTGAAGCTAGCAATAACTTACAGAAAAGGTTTATAACTCAGTAAAGTAAGCTGCCTGATTGATAACTATTCGCGAGGTCAAGAAAGCGTGGTCCACTATGAAATGGTGCAAGAATTATGTCAGCTCTGTAATTGTGTTTGTTTTACTTCTTAATAGTAAGTCTTTTGTTTTTGACCATCGAAAGTGTCAGTCCAAATTATTTCCCACAAATCTCTGTCTCACCAATTTTCTGTTTAACAAATATCGTGCAACTTATATTCCGAAGAAAAGTTAAAATCATTCTCGTGCCCTTTGATAATTACCTTGAGTGCTATTTGACTTATCATGTTCAGTTGCATTTTTAGACTTCCCCTTGTCGTCTAACTCAACAGTCTGTTGACGTGGAAACAGGAAGAATGAAATGGTATAGGGGTGAGGCTCCTCATCTGTGACGTCACTTCCGGTCGTCCGTTCTGCTTGTTGTGCGTCAACGACTTGTGAAACGAAACAATGAAATGTTACGTCGGGTCTTTTAATCTGTCAATTACGACTGTTGTATTCTTACAAAGTTTACATGGTCCACAATCAGCGTCACAAGTCGTTGGAACACTAGTAACCTGCTTTTCTTTGCTGTGTTTGTATCAGTCACAGAGAAACGAGGAGAACTAGTAACAAACAGCATTGGTTTACATTTTGATTAAAATGCCTGTCCTGTGGGCGAGTGGATACCCTACCTTCCCCTTCCCCTTTCTCCCTCCTCTAGCATCGTGAAAAGAAAAAGAGCGAGAAGCGAGAGCTAGTGTTTCAACAAATTGTCACAGATTTGCACTTGGGAATGTCAGGCGTTTTTACTGGGGTGCTTCTCTCCTAAATTTCAGACAGTATTAAAGCCTGCAGTACAATCATTTTTCGGTTTTTAGCGGTCAATTTCAGCGTTTATTCATATCAGTTAAAACAGGGGGCGAGTCAAAACGACTGTATTACGCAGGCGCCAAGATAGTAGGACAAGGTTCCTTTTTCAATCACTTGTTTTGGCAATTTCGAAGAATCGTACCCATACCTGAAAAACGGAAGATGTTAGAAACTGAAACTTGTAAGAATCAATTTTTCTACCTATCGACTGGGGTAGGTGTGCTATAGGTGACTGCTGTCCCGTGCAAAAGAGAAATTTATGTTCATCCACCTTACATTGGACGGTTTTTACAGCGCTTACAGCTGCCGCATCATCATTTTCATCATTATTACGTTTTATGCAGGGGCGGGGCAGAAGACTTTTCGTATAGGCATCATCCAACAAAAAATGACGTCACATCCGGTTTAAACTGCGCTTCGCGGCTCGTTTCACAAAGCGAGAAAATGGCGTTTCGATTACTCGTGGTTTCCCTCTATTTGTAAACCATCAGTTTCGTTTCATTTTATATTGAGTATGGAAGGATGTTGCAGACACATTACTTCGACTTTTGAAGCAAAAATTTCG